CTCCTCTCCTCTCCTCCCCCTCCTCTCTTCTCTTCTCTTCTCTCTCTCTCTCCACCCCCCCACCCCGCCCCAGGCTAGACTACCATGGTGTCAGCCTACCTCACTGCAACCTCAAACTCCCGGGCTCCAGCCATCTTTCTGTCTCAGCTTCTAAAGTAGCTGGGACTATAGTTGGGCTCCATGATGCCCAGCTAATTTTTTCTATTTTTAGTAAAGATGCAGTCTTGCTTTTGCTTTGGCTGGTCTTGAATACCTGACTCAAGGGATCCTACTACCTTGGCCTCCCAGAGTACTGGGATTATAGGCGTGACCACCATGCCCAGCCAACATGTCCTTTTTTAAAGGAAGGCAAGGAAGGTGAAGACATCTGTCCAAGGTGCAATTCTCAGGTAGAGACAGCCTCAGCTAAAGTGGAAGGGGAACTGGATTTAGACTTGAAGAATTGCCCTCCTCTGATATAGCTGTGGGATCTTGAGCAGTCATCTGGTCCAACTGGTCCACAGATTTTTCTCATCTGTGAAAAGAAGTGCTTAAGCCTCCCTTACAGCAAGGTTGGTTCTGATAAATCGATTGATTCATTCAATAGTTGTCTAGAGCTAGGGATACTTCAAATAAGGGTGAGACAAAGTTCTGCTCTCATTCTAACATGCATAAATAAGCAAGTAAATAATAAATAACAGATGAATAAACAAGGGGTGTGAAGTAGAGGATTTGGCAGCTGCTTTGCATAGAGGGGTCAGGGAAGGTATCTCTGAAGAAGTGGCCTCTAAGTCGAAATTTCAATGACAGAAAGGAAGCAACCAGCAGAAGGAATATGTATCAGACCCTCTCCCCCACAAGTGTAGACTGTTTAAGGAACTTAAAGGTGACATGGCTGGAGCATGTGGGAAGAAGGTAGGGGGAGCTGGGGCCAGCTACTGTAGCACTCTGTAAACCCAGGCACTAAATTGGGAATGTCATGGCAATGTTTTAAGAAGGGGCAGCATGGTGCAAGTTGTTTTTTTTTTTTTTTAAAGATTTCCATGTCCCTATAAAGAATATGGATTTGAACCAATAAAAGCAGGCAGGAAGCTATTGCATTAGTCCTGGCAGAAGATGACAGTGGGCTGGCCTGGGGCATAGGGGGCAGTGGAGGAGAAATGGCCACTCTGGTGCGGTGTGTTGTAGACAGTGTCAAGGAGCCTTGATGATGGATTGGCTATATGGTGAAAAAAATCATACAGCACAGGTCACACGTTTGACTTGAGCCACTGGTTGAGCAAGACGAAAAAACCTTGGGGAAGAACAGGATTGGAAAGATTAAGAATTTTACCTTAAGAAAAAAAAAAAGAATTCCACTTTAGACATGATGGACTGATGGGCTTGCACTATCCTTTAGATACTCAAGGAGAGATATTATCCAGGCTGTTGGTCGTGTGGCTGTAATGTTCAGGAGGCAGGTCAGAGCTGGAGATAGGCAGGAGTCTGTAGGCTCAGAATTATTGGGGGCCCTGGGACAGACTAAGGGCACCGAAAGAGAGAGCAGGGGTGCGAGGGGTGAGGACTGGGTCTCTCCAACATTTAGAGATGATCTTTGAGGAATAGGATCCAGCAAAAGAAACCAGGAAACAGCCGTCACTGTGGGCAGAGGAAAAGTAGAATGTGGTGTCTTTGAAGGCCCATCATGAGAGTGGTCTACAGAGAAGCCAAGTAAGATAAGAAAAATGAGCTTCAGTTTGACACCATGGAGCCTGTTCCCTCAGGCAGGCGTGTGGAATGGAAAAGTGCTTCAGATGCCATGAAGCACCACCAATACTTCTCAAAAGGGGCACTCGTGTGGAAGAGGTCCCCAGGGAGAGCTTTTTCAAAAGGCACATGCCTAGACCTCACCCTCTGCTCAGCTGAATCTGAATCTTTGGGGTGTTGAAGAAGCCTCTGCTGCAGCCCCTGAGAAGAGCCCTGTGTTGTACACGGATAAGTTATTGTTATTTTCCCTGCCACATCCACTCCAAGTACATTCTGCGCCTACTTTCAGCCTCTTTGCAGATATCACAGGGGCATCTTTGTGGGAGGACAGTTTATGCTCTTGTCATCAGATGCATGGCCAATGTGTACAGAACAATTATATCAGCAATATCAGTGTGATATGATATCAACAATTATGTATTCCTGATGGTAACAGTTCATGTCCAGGGCTCCTTTGCACTGTCTCCCTACCTTGGAGCTCTGCAATTAACCACGGAAGCGTTCACAGGAAGTGCTGCCGGTAGACGTCTTCTCTGAACGGGTTTATGACATTTCCGTGCCCTGCTCAGACACCAGTTCCAGCTGATTTAAATGAGAACATTAGCAGGTAATCCAAAATGCCCAACAGATGTCTTCCAAGGTAGGGCAAACAAGGCGTGTCCCCGTCTGTGGCAGGCTACCGTAGTGGCCCTGCGGAACACGAGCTCATTGTCCCCCAGCTCTGTGCCTCCTGCTTTTGTAGTCTCCATTTTAAGATCAACAAGCAGATGTGGACAGAGTAGAATAGTGAAGGGAATTTTTTAAAAAGATCTTGTAGATGCTTAATTGATTTAAAAATGTCACTTTGAAAGTAACTCCAGTAATTGTCTGACAATTGCTTCCGAGAAGGCTGTTGAACCTTTGGGGAAACGGTTATGAACACATCATTACGGCAATTATCACACAAATAATCAAACAGCCTTGCCCTCACATTCTTACACCTGGATGTGGCTCAGGAGGGCTGTCATGGGAGCCTGCGCTGCCGTGATGTCTTTATTAATGAGCCAGAAGCAGGGCTAAACGCTGTGCTAATTAAATCTACTGTGGATACTAATCTAGAAGGCACAGCTAGCTGGGGGACGTAGGTGCCGCACCAACTCACTCTGAGCTTTTAAGCACATGGAATGAGGACAAGAAAATGAGCTTTGATTTGATGATAGAGAATGGAAATGTGAAGGAAAAATATCCTAGAAATGGGGATTATTGGAAAGATGATAGAAAGAAGGAAATGCCAGTTATTAACATTTATAGCTCAGCGAGAACACTGAGATGGCATGGTCCCGCCCACAAATCGGATCTCCAGGGAAGACTGGAATATTAGCTGGAAAATTAATTTTCAAAGACAGGAAAGAGGAAGTCAGGGGGGTTTGAGACTATATGTCAATA